TTGTTCCCCTGCTTTGCTTGTTCCTATTCCTCACCATCTTATTCAACTTATCTTCTGATATTTTGGTTAATTTATCAGATACTTTAATTCCTTATAGAGTTATTTGTTTGTTTCCCATTTTAAAACTGATTTTTGTTTCCGCAAAATAAAAAAAATATGGGATTATATAACTTCATCCAATCTACTGTAAGAATCATATCATATCCCCCTACTGGAATAATTCTGAAATTCTAACAAAATTCGTAAGTCTGTATCCTCCACTGTACTCCCACACATTCTCCTCCACTTGTTATCTTATGGTCATTTGCCACCATCACTGTGATAGGTCGACCGTACACCACTTGATCACTTAGTTCTTCTGCTATAAAAGTGTCCACGAAAGAATGTGAACTACAGCTATCGAACAGAATCATAATTATTTTTTTTATTAAGGACTCCTTTAATCCTTATCGTACTTCCTGAAGAACACCCTTCTATAGCTTCTAAGGTACTGTTATAGTATCTTCCTGGTCTTTTGGTGGTTCTTCCAATTGTTCTCCTTCCTCCTCTTCCTCCTCTTCTTCACATTTCTCTACTACTATTACTGATTTCAGTTTGCACTGATGACCAGGAAAATACTTTTCTCCACAATGATAGCAGGAATTCTTCATTTTAGTTTCCCTTGGTGCTGCATCTTTCCTGTCTGGATTTTTGGGTTCGATGGAATCTTTGGTAATTTATCAGTGGTAATAGGGTTAGAGTAGTAGGATTTATGGCTGCATGAAGATGGATGGGATTGTTTGGTGGTTTCGCTCTTATTCATTGCCTCTACAGCTTGCTCTTGCCAAAGTGCTATCTCGAATGCATGATTAAGTATAGGAGGTCAATGCATTTTAACTACTGGCGTCAATTCTTCTTTCAGTCCACTAATAAAGCTTGAAATAAAGTATCTTTCAGAAAATTTAGAAATTTAAGCAAGCAATAGGGATCTCATTTCTTCAAATTTTTCCTGGTACTTAATCACTGTACTTTCTTGGACTAGCTTGTTAAATTCTTCTACAATATCTATACCTGCTAACCCTCCAAATCGTTTACAAAATTCATCCACAAATTCTTACCATTCCAACACCCTATGAGAATTAGCTAACACGCGATACCAGATTTCTGCCCTATCTCCTAAGTACAATGTTGCAGGTTCAATCCTAATTCTCCTCAGCCACATTATACACATGAAACATTACAGTGCATAATCCATGTCCTAGGATTCAAACCCTCAAAGATAGGAATATCAATCTTCAGTGTTGGATTATCCAGCGGGTTGACCCACAGGTTTTGCAAACCACTGCCCCCAACTTCCTACTGTTTCGAAGTTGGCAATAAACCTTTATCAACAGTCTATTGCATCTTCCTTACAGGAAATTTGGTCATATGGAGAAGTAAGAAACAGAATGTGGTGACAAGATCTAGTGCAAAATCAGCAATGACCCAAAGAGTCGTGGGCTGCTACGGTTGAAGGTGATTCTGGAAGATCTAAGGATCAAGTGAGCTGGTCTACTAATGCTCTATTGTGACAAGAAGCCAGCAATCAGCATCAACAATAATCAAGTACAGCATGACTGCCTACCAACTCTCAACTTGCAAATGTACTTACTAAGGACTTGAATGATCCAGCATTCCCAACCATTTTTGCTAAACTGGGATAGACAATGTCTATTGACCAACTGGAGGATATATTTGTAAATTAATGTATGAGGGTATAATAATAAAGTACCCCTATGTAATTAGTTTGTGGGTTTTCTTTCTTATACTTAAAGCTGTATATATATAGGACCCAGTTATTCAATAGTAAAAATATTATTATATTCTTCCATGGTGGGTAAAATGGAGAAGATGGTGACTGGGTTGAACTGGATTTATCTTTCTAAGGGTAAATGACTTACTTTAATTAAGAGTGCACTCTCCAGTCTCTCTCTGTTCTATGTTTCTTTTCCTATTCCAGTGAAACTGGCCAAGAGAATTGAATTTGTTCAATGCAGATTTTGTGGGGTGATTCTAAAAAGCAAAGAGAACATCATTTGATGGCTTGGTACATGGTTAAGAATCTTTTGAGCAAGGGTGGCCTTGGGATTAGGCCCCAAGTCTGCCTTGACAAAGCCATATTGGCCAAATGGCAATGGAGATTTCCCATAGGCAGGCACTCTCTGGTTGAAGTTTATTAGAGCCAACTTTCACCTTCAGTTGGATGGTTGGTATTCTAAGATGGGTAGTGATGTTATCAGGCAGCCCTCAGAGGTGGATTAGCAGGAACTAGAGAGGAGTCCTCGATTGTACTAGGTTCAAGGTTGGGAATAGCAACCTCATCCGCTTCTGGTTTGATCCTTAGTTTGTAGAATTTAGATCATTCTTGAACGACTCCTTCCCAGCTATTTTCGGCATCTCTGGAAGTAGGAGGAGAGTTCGAGCATAATTATAGAACTTTTGATGAAGTCCTTTTCTTCCTTCTTTTCCATCAGGTATCATTGGCTTACGACCCGGTTTATTTGGTTTAAGGGTGACCTCATTCTGGATGAGGTGGATAGATCTGTTTGATTTATTCACTCGTTGAGTATGAGCTCTTTTTTCATGGGTGACACCCCCTTAGCGCCTACCTCAGGTAGAATTGGTAGTTACAAGCGACCTTTATTTTATCAAGCATGTCATATGAAAGTTTCAGGAAAAGTATTACAAGTAGATTAAAAAACTAAAACAAAAGAACGTGGAGACAACAAACTTAAGGATAATTTCTTACGAAATATGTAAAGCAGCTCCATGGCGAGATAGAACTGAAGCAACAGGATCATATCCGTCTCTTAGAGCAGTATTATAATAACCAGCAGTAAGTTCAGCAGGGTGTGACACTGTCTGGTACCACCAATAAACTCCACCAATTTTAGCCACTAATACAACAGAAGTTTGCTTGTTTTCTTGGTATTTCCTTAGAATACTAGCTGCCTTCGCAAGAATAGCATCTGCATGACAAATAAGCCTTCCACTATACCATTCCTACAAGAAAAATATGATATTCAGAGCTCTTTATGCTCTATATAATCCTAAGAATTAGTTTTCATGCACGATAACAGGTAAAAATATTATATATTCAAGAGCATGAATTTCCCGAATCCCATACACATATATATATATATATATATATATGCATATATCTTAATTTGGCCTTCCTATGGTTTAATATTCAATCATCAGAAATTAGTTGATTCAACCTTCTCAAGCAATCTTAAATTATGTCATCAGCTCAACAACAGTGCTCCTGCCTCACAGATCACAACAAACATGGGTGCCTTCTCTATGTTTTAACATTCTTCATCTTGGATAATATCTTACTTATTTGGTCCATCAGTTGGTTCGAGAACATTGAAACTTTCTTAATTTTCTTTTTTTTTTGAGATAAAAGATGAAAGTATTATTATTCACAAAAGGTACTAAAGGAGTACCACCCAATTACATAGAAACTACATATCAATTTAGCGGTCGATGGCGCATCCCAAATCTTCCCAATGTAATATATCATGACCATGTAAAATGG